TACACACACACACACACACACACACACACACACACACACACACACACACACACACACACACACACATATATATATATATGTTTTAGACAGCTGCTAAAAAAATGCTATGGTTTTTATTGAAAATGGGAATTTCCAATTAATGAAATGTGTATTTACCCTTGTTGTATGACAAAATAAACATAATTAGGTTTTCCCATTATGAAATGCGTAAAATTAAAGAATACAAATATAGAAATTCATTAAATTTAATTAAATTTTTCTTGTAGTAAACTGAAATTTTGTATCTTCTATTTTTACACATGTTTGCAAATACACATATATACGTATATGCATAAAATATCTAATTGTCAAGTACAATAAGATTCTTACATCAGTAATAATTATCATTAATGTCAATACTGAATTATTAATTCATAACCGACTTTATCGTATTTCCTCAAGATAGATAAACATTAGATTTTTAAATTTTTTATTTTGTCTATCAACATTAATGATCCTTGACTAACTTTTTTATTTAATAACTTGTCAGAGATAAACAAATCATTGATCTGACCTATAATCATTAATGAACTTGAAATCAGCGCTATTATTTTTTGCAACACGGCATACTATTAAGAAATATAAGATAATTAATAAAGAAAAGAACATAACGAAATTTTTTTCTGACTGCTCTTATTCGGTAAAAAGATTATATTTTTATTTTTTTTACGTGCATAATTTATTTAAAATGACAAAACGACAAAATGACAAAAAGTAACGTTCATAGTATCAAAAAACTCGCAGAATAAACATTATATATATTTCTTACGTACAAACGATATTAATAATTCCTTGTTTACCGACAAGTATTAAATATAGGATCGTCGTACCGTATATTTCAAAATTATGTCTATACACATTTTTTATAATTTTATTTTATTTTATTGTTTCCTGAAAAACCTTTTTCATATAAATAATAAAAATATGTAAATTATTGTAAATTGGATAATACAAAACATAATACAGAAAAAAAATGAAATTTTAAAATTGTTAATATATCTAATTTTATAGTGTATTAATAAAAAGAATATATAATATTAAAAACTAAAAAGTTACTGTATGATGATATATCAAATTTGATTACATATATTATTATATTACATATCAGATAAAAATATTAATTTATTTTCTAATTAAGTTTGCCTTTGTATCTACTATACATGTTATACATATATGTTAAAAAAGATGAGTGATTTATTTAATAAAAGAAGAATTTTATCTTTTTCTACATTGTAATGACAAAAGCATAAGAAGCGAGAAATTCTTCGAAGAAACTATCCGAAGTCGAGGTTGAGTGCCTTGAACATATTTGAAAATATCGCGCCGCTCTCGCCGATTGGTCAGCCGCGCGCCAATCCCTCGCGTTCACGAATGTACGGCTGGGAGCGCACTTCGTATTCGCACGATACACAACACGACCGAAGACGAAGACGACGACGACGGCGACGATCGTGATGGTTGGAACGGATCGAGCATAAGTCGTCTGAAGCTATCAAACGTTCGTGCGTTCTGACTTTTCCGCTCATTCCGTTTTTCTCGACTGACGCGGTGAGTACATCTCTCTTCCTATGACGCTCTCCGTCCCACCCTCGACGACGATCGTCATCGATCGTTGCGCATCTCTATTTTTTTTTTCGCGTCATTTTTCCTTTCGAAAATCAAGTGTCAACGCGATGCGTCGCGAGATCGTCGTCGTTCGAACATCCGTTCGACTCTGTTCGAGACGATCCTGAACGTCTGTCGCTCGCTCATTCGCTCGCGTGCGATGCACACGTTGATGCGTGTTGCGTCGCCATACGGATGCAAGCGACAGGCTTAATCGGGCTCGGTTGATCTCTCGCATCGCTCGAGAATCGCTCATTCGCGCGCGCACGGAGAAAACGCGGACGAGACGGAAGATCGCGTCCGCGATCCCTCTCAGTTGTAACACTTCCCCCCTTTCCCCTCCCTCCCCACGTGTTTCTGATAGTTCGTCTGCGATAACGCAATGCGCGCGAAAATAAGGATAATTTCGATAAATTGCTCGTACAAAACGGTATTACGGTCGCGTTGCGCAAATCGAGTTTTATATTTAAAAAAAATGGATAGCAAGATTCTGAATTTTTATGTCTCGTGTTACGCTGTTCGATTTCCCCCATGATTTTTATATTTGTTTCTATGTTAACTTTAATATCGATAATTTACTTTTATTTTTTTTTTAGTTTTAACGTTTATTTACAATAAATTAATTTCAAACTCAGTTAATTTATTCTCTATCTTCTTCTATACTTAGAATTAATATTTAGAATTAAAAAAAAGACAACAAGTTTAATCGAGATTAAAGTTAATTTACACATTTATGTAGAAATGGATATTACACGGAATCCATTAACGAGCGTTTGCGCATTTGTTTAGTAATTCTCGATCCCGACGGTATGATCGAAAATTGATGAATCTTAATTATAATGCTATGATAATGCATGTTACATATTACGATCCGATTAATTTACATATAAGTACATTTATGACTTCCCTGTCATTTGTAATATTTTATTTTGTGATTTTTTTAAATTTCCGTCTAGATATTCTCATGAAGCATAAACTTTACGTTTTCGATTTAATTTACTTTTTAAGATTTAAAAAAAATAAGGAATGAATTAAGATTTTTTTTTGTAATTAACAGAACTGGACATAGATATATTAGATAGCTCTTATATCCATATAAGGTTAGATTGAAATTAATCAATTAGATTGGATTGAAATTTGATCAATTCAAACAAAGTTTACTTGAGATTTTCTTTAGGTTTTCTTTTTTCTGATTAATTAAATTCTACTCTAATCTCAGTTCCATGGTTTATAGCTGAAATACATTTGTATTTAAAATGAAATAGATATATATTTGAAGTTTAATAAAAACGAGATAAAAAATTTTACTGCAATCCAGAAATAGAAAACGAACTTTCAATCTCTAATCTAAACCACAGTTAAGGCTCGGGTCTCTCGCGGTGCGACATGGGTTGTGTGACGTCAGCAGCGAGAAATGACACGTAAAAAGTTTCTTGCGTCGTATAACTTTATCTTGTACTTTTCCCTTAAAAACATATTTTCGTATTCTTAAAACTTGTAAAAAATACTAGAAAGTAAGATATCTGTCCAATAAATCACATAAAAGTGTAAAATAAATCTTGAAATAATGGTTACTGCTTGGCTATTAGAAATTACCAGATCACTAAATCTAGTTGTTTCTGATAGCTGAGTGACCATTTGTCGCAAATCGAATATTTCTTCTAATTCCTTGAATGTTTCCAATCGACTGACTTATAAATATCTAAAAGATATTTTTAAGGCTTGGTTGTCTCTCTGCATATTGAATTATGACATCAGAGGCGAGAAATGACATGTAAAAAATTTCTTACGTCGTATAGTTTTGTCCTATATTTTTTTCATATAAAACATGATATTTTCGTATTTTTAAAACTTATAAAAAATATCAGAAAATAAGATATGCGCAGAACAAATGTTCTACTTTTATCTTCTATGCGATTTATGAAATCTAAAAGATATCTGTTTCGCCAATTTCTTTTATTGGAAATAAATATCGAAAAAAATATTTTTCAACATATAACATCGAACCTCCGCATACCACGTGTGTGCGGTAAACTCTAATGAATTCTACTTCGTATTCTGAATTAATTTTTAACGGTAAAAATGTCTTTAAAGTGCCTTTAAAAGTAGCTTAGAAACTATCTGAGGAGTCGCATTTAAGACATTTCTTTCGACAAAAGTGAGTTGAAAATACACAGAAAAAAATAAGTTTTAAATCAATATATATTTCCATATATAAGCAATAGCATATTATAATCTTCATATAAAAAATTTTTACACTACTTGAATTGAGCAGAAATAATACTTGCGTTAATACAAATTCAAACAAATCAAACTAAAATTTTTAAGAATATCATAATATTCTTGTTTATATATGAGAATATATTTTTCTTGGTTCAAAACTATTTTTTTTTTCTATTTATGGATTTTGATAAGCGCATTGATAATTTAAATAGCGCAATATTTTTTGTCCCGCATTTTACGAGGTATTTTCAAATATAACTGCGTTTGTGTCGCCTATCGCCAGATAAGAAATCAGGTATTTCCTTCGACGACGGCGCAAAGTTAGATATAATTGCCGGCCTCGTAAGGAATATATCCTTGAAATTGTGAGAATTGACAGTGCGGTCATTTTAATTAATCGCCTTTTTAATAAACGCAATAATACGCCTTATATTCTTCATCTTGTTTATTTTCATTCTTAATTATAACATTCAACATTAGAAGAATCGGATTTAAAGAAATACATGTGAACGATTAACGATTATTGCTTCCGATTATTTGTTTATGCTTTTTATGTAACTCTCTGAAATCCCATAATACGCATTATTTTGTATAATTGCGCGTCGACAATTTGCAAAGAATTGCTCAAGCGTACATACATATTTCTCGTGAATTTCTGCATGTTGAATTTCTTGCTTCCCCCTTTTTTTTGCGACGTCAGTATATTGTACCGTATGTTTATAAAATGTACCGATCGTAACGAATCATCGAGCAAAAAGTGGATCGCGCGGATTGTCTGTGAGAAAAAGAATTCGCGCGCAATAATTGGCGAAAGAACGTTCGCGAAAAAAAAAAAAGAACGTGTGTCTAATAATCATGATAATTTCTTGATTGTTATGTGCAGCGGCAGATTCTGCGAAAAGCATCCACGATGAGCGACGAGGGATTCGATCCATGCGAGTGCATGTTGAATCAAATGTCCATGCAGCATCTACTTTCTATCGTAAGTACTTTCTTTCGTAAGTAATACGAAAGTCACGTGACGTGAATACCGCGAGATCGACGTTGCGATAAGACCGCGGCCGGTTAATGGGCGGTGACGAAGGACGGTGGCTTTTTCGCGGACGTTTAGACACTTTTTACAGGCCCTGAGTACAGTGGAGAAAACATTAGGAACGGAAATAAATATCAATATAAATATTAAATTTTGGAAATTAATATGAATATTAAATATTAACATTAATATAAATATTAAATTTTGAAAATGAAAATTGGAAATAAAGATTAAACGCATTATGGATGGACGCAAAGAAATGACATTTTATACACACTTGTGTCCAAGGTGTGTTGTTACGTTTAATTTTTATTTCGAACTTTTGTTTCTAGAAGTTAATATTCTTATTCTTAGTATTTTCTCCATGGGGCCTAAGAACAATAAACGAGGTTATTCAGACGGCTTGTAACGCAATGACCTCTTCTGTTTAGCCGGCAGAAATTGGTTGCGTCACGCGATTACATAAAAATATTTCGATTACGTAAGTCGACTGCTGATGCATGATATATTACACGTTGAATCGCGTACGAGAACTCGCAATTATGAAGATTCGCGCAAATTTATTCACTTCCGGAATAGAAATTCGTTTCAGGCTTGATTCTGCGACAAATAGTTTTTGTATATGTAGATGTTAAAAAATTCACAAATGAGCGCGGCTTTTATACGCCAAAAGAATGTGTACGTATGTGTTGTGTGTATGTAAACGCGCGTGTGCACACACACACACACACACACACGCAAGAATTCAAATTTAGTAATAATAGGTCTTGTTTTTTTTATAGTTGAACTAGTGTACACTAGTACATTTATTGTATACGTAAAATGGAATATGCTTGAAATTTTTTTTTATAGATAAAAAAATGTATGCAAGAATATATAAATATATTTATATATTTTTGCATACAAAAATTTTTATCTATAAATATATATATTTACATGTATTTATACATGTAAATGCAACAAAAAATTTTTTACCGGGTTGGAGAAAGAGAATTTTAGCGCGATTCAATTAGCAGCATTAAAAAACAGATCTAAAATTTATAACTGTTTTATCACGTATCTGTCGCACTCGCATCTTTCGACGAACAAATAATTATATTTATTTAAAAAAATTAAATTTTTCTATAAATTACTGTTTCAGATACGACAATCACAAGATTATTGCTCGGATACCGAATGCTTTAGCTTATCGAGATGTACGTTTACTATTAAATATATATTTGATTATAATATATTGATCATAGTAATTTAAATTGTTTCATCAATAATTAAACTCAATTTTATTTAAATTTTAATTTTTAACTAAATTGTGATCTTTCTGGAGATAAATAATTGTCAATTTAAGATACATAACTTATATAGTAAACAATATCAATGTACAATATTGACAGTTTAAAAAAAGAGAAAATAAAACGATCGTTTTCTTTCTAGTTCCGCTAGGACCGCAAACGAACATCCAGAGAGAACATTCGCCCTTCCTCTTTACTTGGTTAATTATCGGCTTTATCTTGTTCCTATTCATATTTAGACCGAATTCTTTGCGACAATCGACCAGAAATGTTATTAAGAACCGCAATGAACCCGTAAGTGTATCAACTATATATTATTCATAAAAACTCGACTATATGTTTCGAATCTAAATTTATTTGCAGGATTCACATAGTGATGACCCGCCTTCGCCACCAACAGTGAACTAAATAATACAATATAACTTTGCTGGAAGATCTTGTTATTCGAGATTTTATACATTAGGATCTAAATTCGTAATAGAAATAAGAGAAGAGTTTTATATATGTATAGTATATACATATGATATTAATGTAATGTAAGCATTAGCGGGTATATCGATAATTTGATTTCTTAGAGATGTAATTTTTCCTTGATGATAATCGCAATTTTGAATAATGCGCACGCATTTTCTTTATCTCACAATAACGTGCCTGAATTACATTCACTAATAGTGTTTTTTATCGTGTTCATTTCTCTTGAAATCGTGCATGATATCTGATTGTAATTATATATGAATCCGCTTATTCGCAATAATAAGAATATAATGTATGCGAAATAATATAATTTAAAATCTTTATTCTAAAAACAATGAAAAAATTAAGTACCTGCGAATGGATATAGTCATCTAACGAACTTATTTATTTGGTATTTATATTCCAGAAAATATCCAGAATTCACTAAAAATTTTACAAAAATAACTTACATAAAAAAATCTTCCATCAATCATCGAATATGCAATATCTGATGTAAATAACACAACGACAGTAAAATAATGTATAATAATTAAAAATTTCGAGTCTTGTATAATCTTTCAAGAAACATTTTATGAATATTTTATGAATATTTATATTCTTTTTTTATAACGCAATTATAAGAACAGTGCAAGTATATTTACATCTTGTTTTGGTACAATAAAGATATTTAAAAGTTACATTTTATCATTCACAATAAGAAAAAAATATAATTTATAATTTATTTCAATATACATATTATACCATTCAAATGAAGTGGAGCTATTTTATCACATTAGACATTTTACATAAATTAAAAAATAATAGATTTAAAGATATAAATAAATCTATATTCTATATAGACAATGATTATCAATAATATTACGTACAAAGTATTCTCTCATAATGGATATGGTCTATTATAAAATATTTTATACTAATAACAATGTTGTTTAATATTGTACATTCCCCATATTTTCAATAATAAAATTGCTTCTCCGATTGTATAAAATGACTTTACATTTATTACATCAGTGTAAATAATATCAATGTACACAAGCTAGTATCAATTTATAGATATTTTTGTAAAAATAATGGGATAAGTAAAGAAATCTATTACGTATTATTCGAATTGTGCGTGATTGATCATAGATATCATTTTCATTACAAAATAGTTTTATTTTAGATAAAAATGCTATAGAGTTACATAATTTGTACAATGTTAATATAATCTTACTTTTGCACAAATTTTAATTATTTATGCATTGCTTTATTTGTATTATATTCGAGGAATCTCTCGCACATTTCCGCATAAAAAATTATACAACAAAATTAGCATATCTATGTTTAAAAAATATTAATACATAATATTTATTGAGATAGTTGCAAATAGTTTTTCTTTTTCTAAACAGAAAGATGCTAAGATAATAATTAAATGTATTATTACATATAGTGTTAACATTATCTATACAAAAATTAGTATTTTTGAGCAAATAAAAAACATATATCGATTTGAAATTTGATGAGTTCCAAATTTTTAAAAATTTTTGTTTGGTACATCATGCTTAGATTTAACGCTTTGCGATTTGAGTTAATAATGCACTTTTTATATTTCGATTTTCATTTCTTTTATCCTTTAAAAACTGTTTTTTTCTGTTAACACATATATGTATGCATACGCACGTATACACACACACAACACACACACAGACGCATACAATCTGTTAAAAATTAATTTTATACATCATAATTGAATATTCTATATAATCTCAACATACAAAATATATTGCATAAGTAGAATTTTTTTAGTTCTGATTAAAATTAATGTATATATGTAGAAAGCTAATTTTGAATTATAAGATTACAAAAACAAAAACAACATCACAGTTATATTTCTCAGTGATGAAGCCTTGTCATCGATACTTTTGTACTTTCGAAGTGATGGTAATATATACTTTT